TGACGACTGGGTATTATTATATATAACTCTAACCGCCGTCAATTTGAAGACCATGGACTTGCAGATTATTGACAGACTAGAAAAATTTAAAAAACTTTTTCATGACCATCATAGATAAGAAATGTGCAATACACCAAATCCGCTCAGTGGTGTACAAATCCTGCTAGTTCCAAACTTCCTAAAGGATCCAACTTTAGATTCTGTTATTTCCATGTGGGATACACCTGTCTACACACAACGTTCCAGGAATCTCTCAGGGGAAGAAACAGACGAGGAGAATGTGTAAATGTTATGAAGCGTTCTTCATGAATCATTAACACTACTTTGACTTTCAGCCTGCCTGGTATTACCGCTGACTTTGGTGACGCCTAAACTAAAACTTTATCTTCTATTTATAACATACAGACACAACAGGGGCAGCATGTTGACAAAGAGGCTTCAGAGCCAATCAGAATAACTGTTTTATCTATTGTGATTTAGAAACGTGAGCACTCTTTGGAAAGATAGAACAGCTGTCCCCGAACTGTGGATGAGCACTGATAGCACGTCAATGAGCGGTACAATCTGGGTCAGCTGGTATATCATTTTACACACTGTGCCCGAAGCTAGTGCCAAGGCCACAGTCTAGAAACAAAGGGCGAAAGGACCAGGAGACCTGTTTGAACATTATTAATGGGTTCACTGGGTTGTACTGACAACAATTCACCAAGCCATAAGAAACCAGTCCCATCAACTTAATGCAGTGATATAGAAACATATAATTAAAGCCAGAAACACACCGCTGCTGAATGGCATGTGTCAAAACAGCAGCTTCTAATGTTTTCTTTGTATAATTAGAAACCCTGCTGTGACTAGTCACACAATGATGTGCGTGACATTTCACACAACTGCCTTCACCTACACTTATAAACTTGGTAAGGTGTGGCTCTGGAGACTGGCTCTACAACTAAGAAATCAAAGTTCAAATGGTGGATCCAGATGGGATTTTGTTGTCCCTCACAGACAGGTTGTTTAACGTGGTCCGAGTCACACTTGGCCGTTGTTCGTGTCACTTGATGCACATCATATGCCATGTTGCAGTGCTGCTGTGGCTGTGTGTTTTCTCCTTTAGGTGTTTCAAGCTGAAGGCTTGTGTTATCATTTCCAGCTCACTCTAATCTCTGTTCCATGAGTGTCACAGTGAAATAGATGCATGGAGAGTGGAGTTGACAACAGCTGTGCAACAGCTTTCTGTCATTAAATTAACTGCAATGACAGTTTTGTTTAGCTCTATTTGATTGCGTTGTACATTTTTTTTATGTCTCCTATTACTTTCCCACTGCCTTGACCTGCTGATCCAGCCCCCTCCATGTTCCAGACCTCTTTGTTACAGTAATCCGCTCGTGCTGAAGAAAACACACTATGACAGTGTTGACTAGTTCTGTGTATCCTTTTAAATGCTTTGATTATGTACTGATCCATCACTTCCTGTGTGCATTACACTCCTTTTGCTATAGAAAACATACATCACAATTTAAAAATGCTAAAGAAAGAAAAGAATCTAAAAACAACTTGGTCTGTGTGCATATCTACCTTTTTTCTTTTGGTGTCAGCTTTTGAAAATAAAGCAAACATGACCTATCCATGTACAGTCCATGTACAGGTCACGCAGAGATCTTATAGCCAACATATTCGAGTAACGGTTACCTTAAGCATGGGCAGGGTGCAAGTAAGGAAAACCTAACGGAGAACAGCATCAACACATGTCAATACTTACTGAAGGATTGTTATTTATAAAATTTCTGGAAGCAGACTGCAGAGCAGAGACAGCCCAGAACAGGTTTACCTTATCAATTTGTACCAGGAAGCAGCAAAGCCCTGGGAAGCAGAGCTAATTATGTGTTGGATTTGAACACAAAAATCCGGCAATTATTTTTTTCGCTTTTGAAAAACAAGACAGGGTGGTTTGAATTGGGACATTTTCGCTCCTTTTTATACATGATGGGATTCTTTCAGCATTTGTGATAGATCGTGCTATCACAAGCTTTCAGCTCTGGATGAGGATGTAAAACTAACCATGGTTTCTGTCTCCTTTCTGTTCCTCGTGTGCAGAGAGTTTAAAGGCCCTTTTACACTGTGCAAACTCGAGGGAAGAATTGTAAGGGGACTGTGGTACAATTTGTGCCTGTTAATCCAAAACAGTGGCTATGAATTACACCTGATGAGGACTCCAGCGGTCAGTTTGGAGATCATTTTGGACCAGTGCAATATGGCATAAAACGATACAGAATACACAACCAAGCTTTCAACATCCAATTCACACAGGTAAAAAAGTAAGCGACTGTTTGTCTCGATGCATGCTCAATCATCCAGGTAAGGAAATCCCCAAAAGCTGATTCTGTTCATCTGAACGATGGGTTTTCAGTTGGAGAAACATTTCATCACTCATCCAAGTGACTTCTTCAGTCTCAGCTCACTGCAGGTTTCCCAAACATATAAACAGTTCCTTTGCACATTGCCCAAAACTAGGACCAGACCAACACAGATCAGTTTCATGATTATTAATATCCAAATTGTTGTGACCATTGACAGTTTGGTCAAAGCCAGTGTAGGTGACCCAGAAGGGACGAGGTCAGACATATATGTGTGCGTGCACATGAAAATTGTTGGCACAAATGGACAGAACAAGGCTCTCCAGCCTGGTATGGTGTCCCAGTGAGATATACGAATCATTTCCACAGTCACACAAAATAATCTCATGCGTGATTTTTATGTACACAGATGTAATCTGCTTCACGAAGAGCTACACAGGTCAGTCACGCTAGACTGGTACGACGCTCTAAAAAGTAAAAAATTGAGGCCAACTTGTCTTCAAAGGTAAAATTGAAGACAAACGTTTGCTAATGTTTTTAAAATCTACTGTCAGGCTGACATTTTTCCTCCTGAGGTCTAGTATTGCATTATCACTTAGATTGAAAATCAATAAATCGTTCACAAGTAGGGACATTTTCCAGTTCTTATCTCACTGTGGCGCTTTTAGCTGCCTGAATCTCCATTCCCTCCAATAATCCATCGCCCTCCTCCCGCCTTTAGCCATAGACGTGCTTTCTAAGGGTGATGCTTCTCATGCTGCCAGGGTATTTCAGTGATCCCATGAAAAATACTTTCCACACATGGAGAGAGAACATAAGCAAGGGCAGAGAGGGAGGGAAGTAGTGATGGGGTAAGAAGAGAGATCAGAAGAGAAATTCCAGGGAATATATATATAGATCTGAAATGAGTAGAGGCTGTCGGAATCTAAGGTGTGTGTGTGTGTTGGCTGTCAGAGTCTATTAAGAGGGCACAGCAACAGCCACAGAGGACAGCCTTCCCTGTCTGTCAAGTCTAGACAAACAACTGAGCCACCGTTAACGCTGAATCACTAGATGGGAACTTACCTTTTTGGAGCCTTGTCAAAGCATATGGCATATACATATATGGAACAGCAAGCTCAACTCAAAAAAAGGTTTGAGGACAAAAAAACAGCCCAACCTGATTTTCAACAAAAACATTTCTGTGTATTTTAACAGAAAATTAGACAAGTCTCCAAATCTGATGTTAAAACTTCATGTAGTTCTATAGAAAGGACACTGTTTATCGTCCACATCTCGTTGTGTTCTACCTAGCAGTGCTTATCCTTAAATGGTTTAGGGAGTTAGGTTTGTAGTGGGATCACTGGTGTAATTATGTGGCAATGATAAATAGTTAAAATGGCTCATGGATCTGTCAGGAAGATCCTTTGGCAGAACTTTGCTAAGGCCCCAGAGAGGTCAGGACTGGCTCTGGATCAAGCACGCGGGTTAAATTAATAGACTCGACTATAAGTGTTTCCAGCTTGCTTCCAAAAACGTGGTGGTTATAATCGTAGAAAACAAAAAACAAACCCATCCAATCATAACCAGTACCATCCTTAATGCTCAAATTCTAAACATTTATGCATTTAATTTAACAAGCCTATGAAAACGTCAACTCTGAAAACACAAAAATAAATATTTCTTTTCACATAATCAGACTCGAGAGGACTAAATAGGACTAGGAATTAAAAAAGAAAAAAAAACAATCTCTAAATCTGTGCATTATTGAAATGGCTCTGCGGAGTACACTGGATGCTCCATGGTCTACAAATACCACAGTAATCCCCCCAGACCAGACAAGAGGTTAGTCGAGGTCAAAGGGATGATGGCTGCAGGCTAGCCACGGCTAACCGACATTTAATACCAACTACAATCAATCCCATGTGACTTCAGGATCAAAACCATCTGATGTGCATTGTTTAATTTAAAGAATTTACTGCATGTAATCCCCCCTTTGTTTTCACTGGCAGTCTGTGCACTGTGGTACAATAGCTGCAACCTTAAATCTTCCTCTAATAAAGCTCACATAAATATAAACACAGTCACGGAAAACATTTCGTATTGAACCACAAACAAAAAATTAACTGCTAATACCAAAGATACACACACTCATACTCCAACTTGATCCCTGCTGTCATTGCTGACCTTTTATACTATAACACAGTTAAATATGTTCACAGTGGGCTAAAATGGGACCACAGCACAAACAAGATATCATCCAGTTAACTTCAGAAGCATACACTGACCTAAATACATTGCAACTGCAAAAACACTAAATTGTCTATACTAGTACACATCAAAAGGGTCTGACTGAGAACATAAAACAGACTGCTTTCTTGTGTGGAGCAAACTAGAAGTAACTAATCTGTAGGCGTTACAATCCAGATGCTACAAATGTGCTGTAAAAGATGCCCATTTCTGCTAATATATAAATAAAAGAGGAACTGATATTTCACATGAAAGAAGCTATTTTCCACATGTAGGCATGCAGGTGTGCCTTGAAAGTTTGGCTTGTCTTTTGGTGCGCCTTGGGATTAAAATATTTGTTTGTCTTTTTAAAAATCACTGTTTCTAGGGCATCATAAAATGAAATAACTCGATGAGTGAATGAGCTATGTGTGACCGCACCTGACTGCAGGGTTGTCATCGGTGTGCGTGCGTTGCGGTGAGTCGGAGGCAGGGCCGTCCTCCCCGTCCTGAGGCAGCTCTTCACATTCTGCCTCACACTTCTCATCATCCAACAGCTCTGTGATCTGCAGACAGAAATATAAAAGGATGTAAATGAGGAACACTACAAGCACTAAAACAATTAGATTTAAAAACAGGATTACATTACGGAACAACAAAGGTTACAGCACAGGTAACCACAGTCCACCTGTACTGCGGGTGTAGCATAATCCAGAAATGTTTACCAAAGCGGTTTCTTAAAGGGTAATGCGATGCATGTTTATTTTGCAATAAAGATTTCGGGTAGTAACGTGAAACTTTATTTATCTGTATCTCATGCTGAATGGAAATATACACGCTGACATTAACCAGCCTCACGATGGAGTCCAATGAAGACGGCCAACTTCACTGTTAGGTTTACAGTTATAAGAATAGCATGTGAACATATCCTATATTTTTATTTTTCAGGGACTTCCAGTGATTGCAGAGATAAAATCATTTCATATAAAGCTGTATATACTCTGTGTTTGCAAGGCAGAACCAAGATGTTACCGTTTGTTCAATTAGATATCCAAATATAGACGACGCTAATGAGTAACACATTGACAGCACAGATGTAGTCTTCAGGAGGGAGGGAAAAAACATTTCTTTGACGGACAGATGGAGGGGGCGATGAGTGGACAAGAGAAACGAGAAGGAGGGAGAAGGACGGGAACGAGGGTTTAAATTCGGGCTTGAGGATGTATCATTTTCTCGTTGACGTAGCAATGTCCCGATGCATGATAGTCACATTCCAAGACTGTAATAAGGAGAAACCAGACCACGAGGTATGCAGCACGTGGAGCTTTGCTGTTTGATACAAAATAAATTAAAAATTAACAAGTGAATGCATTTTGCTTTTAAATGGCAGTTACTCAACCTTTTTTAAATGTCAGACTACATCCACAGCTGTAAACACACTGAGCACATAGTTGACATGTATGATACGTGTGGGTCTGTGTACTCTGCAAACATAGAAAGGTCACAGAATGGGTCAAAAATTGATTATTAATATAGAAAAATAACCACCAGAAGACATTTTATTTAATTGCGGAGGTTTCTGGATGTTAACTCAACCATATCACACAAACTCTGTGAAAAACTGAGCACGCAACACACACACCAGAAGGAAAAATCACCGTCTTGTTTTTCCTTTGACTCACAGAGAGCACATGTCCTATTGTAGGTGCAGGAAAATCCTTTGATTGGCCTGCACGAGCCACATATTCAAAGCTTTTACAGAGAAGGAAACAGGGTGATGGAAAAAGACGAGCTGATGCTGCGTGTTTCTAGTGCAACCTAAACTCGACAACAAACTATTGAGTTTCTTTTGCCGCAGCTCCGGTTTTAAGGCTAAGATCATGTAAGAAGGTGTGAATACGATGAGGAAAAGGTCAAGCGAGCGAGCCGAAGGGAAAGAAGAAGAGTGATAATGAATCTGCCAGTAAAAAGAAAGAAAGGGAGACGGGAAGGAGATGGATGTAGGAGAGAAGGTGGGAGGGGGAATAAATATGTTGACAGAAATAACTCATCATCATTCTGGTAGGTGACAGCATGTGAACAAGCTGTACTTTATGCTCCAGCTCAAGGATTTCTTTTGTTGATTTAGTAAAACATGACTTTTATAAACAGATATTTTTTCCTGTGTAAAATCATCAGCTATGTCTTCAGGCTACACCTTATGCTCACATTGCATTAGACACAAGTTTGACCTCAGCTACAAAAACCCAGAAAGGAACGTGGATTAAAGGTTAAACCAGATTCACTGTCATGAGGAAACAACATCACCCTGTTTGCCCTTTCCTGTGCCTCTCTCCTTTGGTCTTCTCAGCATCTGCTGCTGTCACTGTACTGTCACTATGGAAACACCTCTGTTAAAAAAAGCCCTGATTGGTTGTTGGGAAATACTTGCATCGTCACATGTGCAGACCTAGGAGGATGACTCACGAGATTCCCTGAAGTAAGAGAGCGTGTGTGTGTCTAAGTGAGACCAAGTGCAGAACGTAGACTTTTAAACAGCTTCAGTCTCAGTTTTTATGACAGAGCTTCAACTGAGAAGTGAAAATATCCTTTATCCCAGCATGCAGTTAATTATCACCCCGTAGCTCAGCTTATCTTTACGTGTAGGTGTGTGAAATACTGATTAAATTATATGGAAGCCTGACAGACAATTATTAATCTCCTGACCATCCTGTGCTATTAACACATAAAAAATACAAGTGATGCTAATGTTTCACAGGAGCTGGAAAAATAAGCAGCAGCTCAGCTCATGGTGATGTTAAGAGAGGACTCTGTTCATTTCTGCCTTCACATCACAATCATACTTGGACTTTTCTAGAAGCGACCCTGAATTGGATACGTGGAAGAGAATGGACGGAAACCATGCTACCATCGGGAAATATTGTTTTGATTTATTAAAACTCCAATTTTGGATGTTTATATATGAATGCAGAAAATTCATCTCTTATCTTAGACATTTATATATAAGAACCCAACTTTCCTTGCTTGCTTCTTTCAGCTGCTTTTCATTAAAACGTTCTCCGCTGACCCGGACATACACATAATTATCAACCAGAGAGCTGAAACAATAAATATAGAAACTGTCATTTAGTAAACACCTTCCTGATGTTATAATCCAAATCAGAATATTTTGAGTGTAAAATAATTTCAGATTATGTGATTGCCACAAACAGATACAAACACACACAGCAGGAAATCACAGAAAGACGGGTTAAACATTAAAATTATGCAAAACACGAAAAATTAATATTGAATTCAATGAACATGAACTGGGATTAAAGATTTAACAGAAGCATATTCTATCCAGGCTGCTGGTCATTGACATGGAAAAATTGGTGTGGATAAGCTTTAAATACAAAAGCCCCTGTGTATCCACATTAGCGGTTGACATCATGAACAATGAATCTTGATTGTATAACTTCCCCCTGGGCTAGATGTGTTCATTCAAATGGTATAAATGGAGTTATGAATATGGTCAACAATGTGCTGAGTAAGTTATCAGAAAGCATTTGAGGTGATGTAACAATATTAGAGGATAAGAGAGGTTAAATCCCCCTGTCAAGATGACCTTGCTTGGTCATTCATTGGGTTGGTTAAACAGTTATAACCCCCCGCCCCACACCCATTTAGGGCTGTGGAAATCTTTAATCGGGCTAACTTATCAAATTAATGTTTAAAAACAGAAGATGCAGTGCTTTTAGACATCAAGTCCCAGTGATGATAGACAAGTGCGCCTCTGTGTGGTGTGTGTGTGGTCGAGTGGGTGAAACGATGGGAGAGAACACTCTAGAACAAAAGGTCACGACATTGGCCCTTATTTAGCAGTCTAATCCAGAGTTTCAGGATGGAGAACAAGGAACAAGCTGCACTGACATCACTAGCTTGGCTGTCAAACTGTCTGTGGGCCAAGAACACAGAACAATCACAGAACAACTGATTGGGATGGGCATTACCGATCTCAAACTGTGGCCTACATTTGCGGTTTCCAAGGGGTCATTTGTACGTTCAGAGCGGTATGAGACTAAAGAGAACAAAGACGAGAAGCAGTTCTTTCTCATTTTCAGATTTATCTACTGCAGAGAGGAAGCTGAACTGTGAAGTGGACTTTTTTTAAGGTGCTGGAAGTGTAAAGGTCCAAACTGTTCAACTGAATCTCCTCTCAGTGCTTTATTGCTCATTCTTGCTTGCAAGACTGCACTGCTTACTTCCAGCAGTACCACTGGAGAACAGCCCTCTGGCCTAATGTTCCTGCAGTGAGTGGGCAGTGTGATCTAGATCTTAGTCAAAGTAAATAAATCAAGAATGTAGCTGTGTGTTCATAAGACGTTATTGAAAAATCCGTAGATCTTTGTGTGTTCATACTATATATCTCTCCACAGCTATTATACATCTCCTCTGCTGTCCAACTAGGCCAACAGATCCTCCTTAAATAACTCCACATTCAAACTTAAATAGGCTACCACTCAATAATTTATCACTCGTGTCAGAGGTCCAAGCAAGTGTGTGTCCTCCATCCTAAGCAGGCTTCTACATCCACCCAGTTGGAGTTACTGTTCACAGTTCTGACCACACCTGTGCTTTCATTAAGACAGTAATTAAGTAGACAGACAAGTCTTTCATACATGGAACACATAATCCTAGATTTTCCTAGGTTTTAAAATTATAACCTTTCATTCACTCAACTGCATGTATACACATTGCAGCTGCACTACAATGCAGCTATTGATTATTTTAGTAATAGAGTAATCTCTTCCATTCC